GGACTTACAGCTCTAATCATAGAATCATAGAATGGTTCATGTTGGGCTAATCATAGAATCATAGAGTGGTTTGGGCTGGAAGGGACCTTAAAGATCATCGAGTTCCAACCCCCTGCCCTGGGCAGGGACCCCTCCCACCAGACCAGGTTGCTCCAAGCCCCATCCAGCCTGGCCTTGAACCCCTCCAGGGATGGGGCAGCCACAGCTTCTCTGGGCAACCTGGGCCAGGGTCTCACCACCCTCACAGCAAAGAATTTCTTCCTGAGATCTCATCTCAATCTCCCCTCTTTCAGTTTAAAACCCTTCCCCCTCATCCTATGGCTCCCCTCCCTGATCCAGAGTCCCTCCCCATCTCTCCTGTCTCCCCCTTTAGATGACGTTGCTTCTGCCCTCACAGCAACTTGGAATTGAAATTACAAACCAACCCATCTGGGTTTGGGATTACCATCCCTTTTATATTATTTTTGTTCCTGTGAAGATTCCTCTAAGCTAAAAGCTGCTGCTGTGCATCCCCTTGTGCATGCTCTGCTCACCTGCACGGGCCTTTGTAAACTCTTGCAAAGTGGAGCAATCCTTTGCTGTGCTTGTGACTCTTTGAACCAGATGCTGAACAGTCCATTTGCTTGGGCTGGGGTTGTGTCTTCCTGTATATTTTGACTCGCAGCTCCGCCTGCTTTTTTGTCATAGAGCACTTTTCTTGTCACATTTTGAATTCTTTTTAACACTGGAAATTTGAATTCTTTTTAACAGTTTCACCGGCATGAGCAGACTGGGTGATTTCCTTTGATTGCTAAATTCCAATCATATCATCAAGGTTACTTATAGTTCTTCTGGTTGATACCACACGTTTTCAGTCCCAGACCCTATCAGACCCCAACATTACAGGAGTGACTCTTCAGCCCTACATCAAGCCACAATTTTTCCTCAGTTTCCCAGCCTTGTTGGATAGATCCTGGATGAATCTTTTCAGCTGTCTTAACTTTTCTAGGAATTCTAACTCTGGTGATATTCTCCTGTGCTGCATTCCGAATAAGGCACTTCTAAAGTTATTTTTTTACTAATTTGCATTTAAAATTTTTTTTCTGTGCTGCATTCCAAATAAGGCACTTTTCAAGTTATTTTTTACTAATTTGCATTTAAAATTTTTTTTCAGAGCCAAGGAAGAGACTGAGACCTGTTTCTTCTTAGTACCAGAATCCTAACCAGCCTGCGCTGTGGAAACACAAGTCTCTGCATGATGTAGCAACTAATCCCAACACACTCTTGCCAGAATACATTAAAAATACTGATTTTAGGTATTTAGGGTTTGGAAGCAGCTCAGCAGGCATCATCTGTGCGCTGCACAAACTATCTGTGTACACATCTTTCAGCTGGAGTGGAGTGTGATAAACACTGACCAGTGGGGGAGCCTAGTTCTTAGGAATAATTGCCATCAGCCTCGGTGAGAATCTGTGCTGCTGCACTAAATGCAAATTTGCTATCTAGATTGCTATATGTTATAAAGAATTATATAGAATTATATAGAATCAGCTGCTTGTGGAGAAGTGACTATTCTCCTGTGGAATGGGCAGCTTTCTGTGTTGTTTCATTCAAATAATGTAATTATTATTTGTTTATAATATAAGGTTACTATAAGCTTGCATTGATAGGTAGCTCTAAATCCCACTTCTTCCTTCTTTTTATCATATATCAGCTTGTATAAACTTCGGTCACTTAAACCTGGCTTTATCCCTCCCAACATTAGATAGTTAACTAATGCATTAGGTATTTAACTGAATCACACAGCTGGTTACCTTAGGGTCCTTCTAGAGTCAATGAAGAGAGACAGACTAATTTTAAAGAGTGTTACTGAGATTTAAAATTAATTTCTGGAGCTCCCTCTTTCACCTGGGAGACCCCTCTGGCAACTGTACTTCTTCGATGGTCAACTTTACTTAGCTGAGAAACTTGCATTTTTATTCAGAATCCATAGCATATCTGAGAGTTCTTTAAATAGTACATGTATCCAGTCACTAAATGGGAAAGGTATGGCTTAGGTATTTCTTATATGCAAACTATGTTTCTTTTGCTCAGCTCAGAATTGTTAACATTTTCAATATGAGAGATGGATTTTCCTTGTGTAAGCAAACACATGGATTGGAAAGGAATGGTTTCACGATGGAGACGTGAGCTTTCTGGCTAATGATCTGCTCTATCAGAGTCCCTCGTAAAACAGAGACAAAACAAAGTTCTACACAACATTTATACAAGTCTGAAGTCATAAAAAATATTTTTGGGAGACAAGTGTTCCTCTTTATATGTGGACTGCCTGCCAGGAAAGTCAGTGCAGGTATTCTGCCTTTTGAGATCTCGCATGAAGCAGGTCTCAGCTGAATATGGGTTGCAGATGATTTGGCATTTTATTTGCAAAACAGCTTTAGCAAGATCTGTACACCTTTATGGGATCAAGATGGGGTTCACCTTGTACCTTGTGCCAAGGAACAAAGATGTCATTAATGTAACCAAAAAATCGTCAAGCATAGTGCCAAATGTAATAAAAATGAATGTCTTTCTTACCTTCCGTGCTTGTGGACTATAGAAATGTTAAGGTACTTTTTCAGGGACTCCCCTTCACCCAGCTCTGTAACTCATGCCCAGTCAAACCAAACACTCAGAATTCAAAAATGAAATCAATTTACTCAATCAGGTTGGCAAAAACTTTAAAAAAAAAAAAAAGGGACCAAACCACATTATCTTCCTATGGAATCTGTTAATGCTTAAAAATAGCATTTTAGAATGCTTTGGTCACCTCATTCGTATAAAGCACTGATCTGAGTCTCATCTGTTCATGAGTTTAAAAAACAAGGATTCAGAACTGTGCACATGAATTTTTGGTGTGTCTTTATAGAGGAGGAAAACGTGACCTACCTGGCACTTCCCTGGCAAGGCAGGAGCCTTCATCTCAGGACAAACCCACCAGGAGCCTGATCACTTACCTGCACATTTTCCTAATCACATAATGCCTCTCAGTGAAGGTTAATTTACCCTTTAAAAATAGCATTTATCAACCCAAGGATTAAAAGTAATGATTTGAAGTATCAGATGCTTGTTTGAGAAATGCAAACACACCTAATTGACATATTGAGATAAATTAAGTATGCACAGATCTCTGTATAGAGGTATTTAAAACAAAGCATTGAGTCTTGTACAACATTCACTATCTAAAAGCTGTCATTTTCTCTCCAGATTTTCACCTGAAATGTCACCTAAGGCCATTGTGTATGTTTGTTTTAAAACCAGTGATGGTCTAGAGGGACACCATCATCATATGGATGTGTCTGTTAGAGTAACAAAAGTGCATTTATTGTCTTACCAAGAAAGTATTTTTATCTATTATGTTGCCAGAAGGAAAGAAAGTATTTGAGAGGATGCAGCGTGCTGCATGGGTGGAAGCAATACTGTTGTTTTTCTTCATGTCACACTCCTCACCCCAGTTTGGACCTGCTGCATTTATTTAATATAACCACTTCATATTTGCAAATTTAACCCTGCACATCTTTTTCCATCATTTCACGTGGACCTTCTATCCCCTCCCAAGTTCTCCATGCTTTCCTTGTTTTTTTTTTTTCCCCATCATTTCACATGGACCTTTCTGTCCCGTCCCAAGTTCTCCATGCTTTCCTTGTTTTTTGGGATTTCCTAGAGTCCTTAACCAGTTCCAGCTGGGATCAAGGCCAAAACCAGCCAAGTATCGCAACCGAGATGATCTCAAGTGGCACCTTAGTTAAATTGCTGAATAATCTTTTCTCTAGGGTTCAGATAAACATTGGCTGAGTTTTCTTATGCCTTCCTAAAGGTCCTTCCTTTTCGATTTACTGTTTCTATTCTTTTATTTTTAGCAAGTTTCCCAGAGAAGGTCAGTTGGAGTCCGTCCCCCCCCCCCTCAAGTTACGTAACTACAAATTTGGGTAGCCCCCTTCCTTCACAGTCTTTTTTTGGGTAAAACTGGGAGATAAATTAGATTATGGCCTCTGCACAGCTTGCCTTCAAAGCGCTGAATGCAACAAATTTTGGCAGAACCTGGACTGTGCCCCCATTTTATTTTGCAGTGGCTCTGGACTATTTTACACTTTGAGAGAAGAAAAGTGATTTTCTGCTGCTCATCTACTGGGAAGACACTGGCAATAAATAGTCAGTCTTGGGCTTGTATGCAGTATTTCAAAGCAGAAATCCACGACGTAGGGTAACCTGACAAGAAGCCAGGTTAAACTGGTTCTTGTTAAGCAAATATTTCTTTCTTCTGGCTGCTTAAATGAAGCGGAGGAGGATTTTTTCTTCTCTAAAGCAATTCAGTCTTCTCCCTTAACCTCTGAGAAAATATTCCGAGAAACAGAAAATCTGATCTCAGAAGTTTTAATCTTAAAACAGGAAAAAGTCTGCTCCCGACTAGGAAAGCTCAGCTGATTTTACCACTGCACAAATACAAATAAAAGCACAACAGACTACAGACAGAACTGTAAAATGGCAAGGAACAGCAAAAGGAGCTATGACACCACTTTCATTCTGTGAAGCAGAACAATTTACTGACATCCATTTCTTAACCTACGTGTATTTATTTTCCCCATTCACAGAAAAGATTAGGATAGTGAATTTTGTAAGTTGTTAAGGTGGTTTTCCCTGATGGTTGATGCACCTCATGATGTACCTCATGTGAATTGTTGGGGCTGAAAGTGATAGTGAATTCTTTAAGTTGTTAAGGTGGTTTTCCCTGGTGGCTGACGCACTACTGTACCTCATGTGAATTGTTGGGGCTGAAAGTGTTCTTATCTGATTTTTTTTTGCTAGAGATGTGTGTGCTCTCAAGAGATGAGCACGATAATTGTGTTTACAAAAGTGGGTTTCAAGACCAGGCATTAGAAATACATTCCTATATGAATGCAGGCACACACTGTCACAGTAAGTCATTGTAACCAAGCTTTTAATGTCATTTATAAAAAAATAGAGTTATTTACATTTGCAACTTATTTGATGGCATCCTCATTTATTACAGCATTTGAACCAGTGAAGCAATGTCACTAGAACTCATTTGAGGGTAAACTTTTCGAAGAGAAGTGTGACAGTACATTAAAAAAAAATGTTTAAAACATTGAGAATTCTTGCTGTTTCGCAGGATCATATAAACTCATTCTTGACAACACATTCACCCTGGCTTTATGGTAAACAGAATTCCCTTCCAGATTAAGGGACAGAAACTCTGCCACCTTTTAAGGGACATTCTTACATGTGGCACTTCAAGCTGTAACCAAAGGAATTAGTTGAATCCCAATGGACAGTGGCCTAAATGCAGAATGTAGCCACTTACACATTTTTGTAAAACTCTGGTAAAAAGGACCAAAAAGATAAAAAAGTCTGACTATACTTAATTGCATAGATGCAGCAAACCAGATCGACGAATACAAAAGCCATCAAAATATATTATAAATCTATCTGAGTTTCAAACTACTCTAAAATACTGCTTTCCTTTAGAATACAAATAACACTGTTTGGGGTTAGTTTGTAGAGTTGTATTTTGGTCCATGCTGTTAATTCTATATCATTATATTCCTCTTCCATTAGTTTAAAAGCCTCGGAACGACAGGTCCTCAGGCAGTGATAAGAATGATGAAGCCAAAGAAGGGCCTTTCCGTATCTGAGACTTCAGCTGCTGCAGTCAGTTCATAAAAACTCTTAATTTCCACCTCCTCCCTTCTTTACTGCTTTAAATAAATTCCCCTCAGAGCTCTAAGGGAAAAGAATGAGAGGGGACACAGATTTAACACTCTTAGAGACGGAAGTTTGTCCCCCTCTTCTAGTCTGGAGTGGATAAATCACAGCTCTTTAAAATATCCAGCCCATTAAAAAACAAAAAAAAAAAAAAAAAAAAAAAAAAAAAAAAAAAAACCAACAAACCAACAACCAATTTACTTTGACTATGCGGTAGTTCCACATAATCTGCTGGCAGTAGAAACTTCTTTGGCATCAGAGTCAGGTCTTCCTGAAACCACAAATGGCCAAGTCTGTAAGCAAAAAAAAAAAAAAAAAAATAACTTCTTCAGCTTATTAAGTTTTGCTTTCTTTATATCAACTCTAATAACTAAAATAGGTCTAATGTAAAGCTAGTGTTCACTTCAGTTTAATTGAATTGATAAAGCAATTTAGCCCAGCGCCTCTAACAAACATTTTCATTAGTTTTTTTTGGGATAATTAAATGCTCCCTCCGCCGTCGGGCTGCAACGAATTGTTCCCGTTAAAAGAATGCAACGTTTCTTTTGCTTTGCGACTCTTTGCATCCTTTTATAAATAAAAAGCGGAGATATAAAGCTGTTCAATTTACCCCTCTGGCAGGCGATTAGCTTTGTACCGGGGGACTGATGCCGGGTTGCTTGCGCTCCAAGCCGGCCCGGAGAGGGAATTACTCCTTTTTGGGACCTTAAATTTGCTTAATGAGCGAAGAATTTATTTCTTTAGGGTTCCCCGTCGCCATCAGCCCGGCCCAAACCCGCCTCCCGGGGTTGGGAGCTTCTCCGACGGCTTGAAATCCCTTGGCCAGCCCTGCCCGGAGTGGGGCTACCGCACCTCCGGGGGCTACCCCAGGGTTGGGGGTGTCCCCCCCGCGGTTATCTCCTCGCCACCGCGCATCCCCCAAACCTCCGGGACCCCCCCTCCCCAGCCCCCCAGCCCCGTACCTACCAGGTTGACGGGATGGACGTATCCGTTCTCGTAGCGGTCCTCCTGGAGGAGCTGGCGGAGGTGGGCGATGTAGCTGGAGGCCAGGCGCAGGGTGTCCAGCTTGGAGAGCTTGGTGTCGGGGGGTACCCAGGGCAGGCTGGTCTTCAGCCGGGAGAACGCCTTGCTCAACACCCGCATCCGCGCCCGCTCCCGCGCGTTGGCCGCGTTGCGCTGCGACTGTTTCCCCTCCGACGCCGCCGCCGCCGTCGGTGTCGGTGTTGGCGCTGGTGGCCCCCGCGGCCCCGACGCCGCTTTCTTGCCCCCGGGGCCACCACCCCGCGCTCTCTTCCTCTTGCCGCCCGCCGGCCCCTCGCCTTCCTCCTCCTCCTCTTCTTCTTCCTCCTCCTCTTCTTCCTCCTCCTCCGCCGCCGAGGAGTTGTCCCCCGAAGGGTAGAGCTCGCCGCGGGGCTGGCGTTTGCCCGATGGCGGCGGCGGGTAGCCCAGTTGCAACCCCCGCAGGTCCATGTCGGGCAGCTCCTCCGCCTCGCTCCCGGAGCCGGCGGACATGGCCCCGGGAGGGAGGCGGGCGGCGGGGG